CCAATAATTTTGGCAATTTTTGTTGACACAACCTCAAATTTTCACAGAACTTATAGAAACACATCTACATTGTACTGATGGTGTGTGTATGGACGCCATTATCTTTGAGAGGATAAAGTGTCTTGTATCTAGTATCTTTAGTCCTCACTCTCCTCTTGAGTCCAGCAGACCCTCCAAACCCTCCTCCCGTTCCTCTACGGATGTAACAATAACCGAAATATCGTGATATTGTGTCATCAAAAGTCTCATAATAATATCCATCACAATATATCGCATTACAAGTTTCTTTGATTAAATTCATTCTTATGGTGCAGCAACAGCTAAAAAACAGAACTAGAGGGTGTCCTAAAAAGTCTGACATAATTTCGCAGGCCAATAATTTTAATAATTCTTGCTGAAATAACCTCAAATTTTCACAGAATACATAGAAACAGATCAGGACTTTATATTTAATGTTTATTTTTTGTTCTGTTTTTAGGTTGAGCTGTTCACTTCCAAAGAGAAGTCATTTTACGTTTTGGAATATGTACCCACACAGTCACCCAAGACTGTGCAGCCTTTGGAAAAAACTGGAAAAACTTCACCAACTGGCAAACAAACTTGGACTTGGTACCAAAAATTTAACGAGGAAGGCTGATAATGCAGGGCTAAAGGATTACACATGTGTGAGCAGATTCCAAAATGCAAAATGACCTCTTAATGGGAGTAAATGGCACGGCTCAACCTGAAAACAGAACAAAAATAAATCATTAAATCTAAAATCTTGATCGTTTTCTATACATTCTATGAAAATTTGAGGTTATTTCAACAAGAATTACTAAAATTATTGGCCTGCGAAATTATGTCAAATATTTTGGGACACCCTCTATTTTTTTTTTAGCTGTTGCTGCAAAATAAGAATGAATTTAAGCAAAGAAATGTGTAATTCGATATATTGTGATGGCCCAGGATATGATTGCGAGGCTTTTGACGATATGATATCATGATATTTTGGTTATTGTTACATCCGAGGAGGGTTTGGAGGACTAAAAAGGAGAGTGGGAACTAAAGATACTAGATACAAGACATTTCATCCTTTCAGAGATAATGGCATCCATACACCATCAGTACAGTGTAGATGTGTTATGTAAGGAAAAAAAAATGTACAGCAGTGTAGTATAGAAAATGGATGCTTGAATGGATGTCATAAATAGTACAATGACGGTCATTTTCGTTGCCATAAGAAGCATGTAGTATTACACCTTTTACCTATTTTGTTATAATCACAGTATTTTTCAACACATAACATGTACTTAAGTAGAGCCTGGTTGCAATATGTGAGTTTTATGCCCAGGCTGTGTGAGAATTGCACTCCATGTACCTTGTACCTTCTCAGATTCATGCTCGAGAGTATATCCAGAAATATAAATGAATGAATATAGTTTAAAAATTAACTATTAAAGGGCCCGTACTATGCCTGTAATGATAACAGATTTGCTGGATGATTAATTGACCAAGAAATTATTGTGATAAATGATAATATTGACATTTTGAGACCATTTTCAATTAAATGTAATGGAATAACAATGGAATAAAAATACAAATGCACCAGATCGTCATTTTGATCTTGAAGTGTTCGTATTAACCCGCTCTTCATGATCCTATTTTCCAATTTTACCCGTCAGAAAATCATATTCATAATATAGAGCCTGACTCCTCAGTCCTGTCTGGTATTGTGTTGGTGTCTAATAGGATTTCAGTGGATTTCGTTCTCTCCTGGGGGTGCGGTTTGTTGTGTCGATCAGGTATGGGTGTATGTTGGCTGCTGAGGTTTGAGACATTTGCTTTTGAAAATGCAGCGAGTGTTTGCACACTCACTGCATTTGAGGCATGTTCGCCGTTGAGACATTTCCCACTCTCTCGTGTTGATTTGGCATCGTGACTTGTTTTGTCACACGGCGATGAACTGTTTTGGTGCTTTGGCGGCGACACTAGTTTTGCAGCTTCATTTTTAACCGCACAGACAGCAAAACTTTCTGCACTCAGGCCGCTGTCTTAACCAACAAATAATCTGTCCATACAGCCCATGGGATACAGTCCATGCTCCTTTGGTCTACACTGACACGTTCATTCAAGCGTCGTTACGCTAAGGCAGGGGTGTCAAACCTAAATTCACAGAGGCCAAAATTAAAAACTGGGACTAAGTCGTGGGCCAAACTAAATATTTATTTTAAATTTCAATAACATCTGCATGTTTTCTCTTCTTTCGAGATATGTAATGACAAACTTTTCTTATTAAAATAAATGTTTAATGATGGTTTTGCTTAAACATTGAATCCAGAACAAGCATGATATAAAATAACAACAACATTTAAATAAATGTCTCTATAGCCTATCTGTAGCCGGTGGGCAGCTCTAATACATATTTGTTGTGATCTCCTGGGTCAAATATAATTATATCAAATATATAATTATATCAAACTCAAATTTGACCCCCGGGCCTGAGTTTGACATGTCTGTGCTAAGGAAACGAGTAGAGAGCGATTAGAAGCCTTTTGACATTCAGTCTCTTTGGTAGAGAGAGTGAGAGAGACAAGGAAAACAAACAAGCACACAAATAGAAATTATTGCGGCTCATTAAAAGTTGGAGTACGATTAATTGATTTATTGATTATCATTACAGACCCAGCCCATAATATGTTATAATGTTGTTTCCTCGTCACAAACATACCTGGAGTGGTGTTTGTTTCATTAACACGTCATTCACACACAAACTCTGCATATTTGTTTTTTCTCTCAAACTGAAAACACTAATGTCATGTAAAACAGGACGTGCTCCACTTTGTTTTTGAACCACCAGAATCATTCGGTTCATTTCAACCCATTCTCTACCACACAAAAGGTAAAAAGCAGCTGTTAACTTGAAAACTACCACTTCATGAAATGTGTTTTTAAGCTTTATAGACATAGACAGACTAATAATAAAGGGTAACTCAAACATGTGTGAATGAAACAAAACACAACACAAACACAAATATCACACGCTCACAAGAGTCCATTTTGCGTAATATTGGACCTTTAGCTCTATTAACAGTTCTGGCAAAATTATAGCTATTAGTTCTGCTACATTAGTTTTTGAGAAATTAAATGTTGATTAAATGATCGTGTGAAATAATGTGCTAACTGTGGTTTCAGAAAACACCAGCTGTTTTTGAGTGTTTGTGTTGTTTATAAAGTAGCACTATTAACACTTCGAGAGCTGTGATAATTACGTGAAAGACGCAAGGGAGGGTTAGCTGAATTACACAAAGACCAAGTGTTTGACTGCATGGGCTGTGGATTCATTTTCCCAAACCAAAAACACCAAATTATCACAGAAACAATGTCTTAAAAATGTAAAAACAGAACTAATTCATTTAAAATGTGTTTAGTTATTCCTCATTTACCTCATATATTCCAAGTATCCTAATTATTCACAACTCTCAGGGACATTTTTTTGCCATGAAAAGTACTATTATGTATGTAAAAGTAACAAATAGCATGCTAACACACACTTGCTTTCTATTTAGATACAGAAAGCACACAGTAGACTTGGCAGCAGACTGATTTAGCTTAAATACAAAAATCTAGTGCACGGCCTTTAAGATTGAATTGTCAATACTGTTGTTTGGTTAATAGGTGATTTTTTATGGAATTTAAACTCTAAATCTTACAGGCCGTTCTTTTAAAGTGGGACTAAACACCTAAACTCTGCCCAAAATCACATTTCAAACAAAAAGCTGCTAAACTAGGCACTACCTGGACGACACTCGTTTAAAACAAGTCTTTGTTCAATATGGGCCTCACCGCAACACCCACCACCACAACACTGACCACCGACTACCACAACACTGACCACCGACTACCACAACACTGACCACAGACTACCACAACACTGACCTCCGACTACCACAACACTGACCTCCGACTACCACAACACTGACCTGACCCACACGACTACCACAACACTGACCACCGACTACCACAACACTGACCACCGACTACCACAACACTGACCTCCACTACTACCTCTAAACTACTAGCTGAACTACCTCACCTGCCTCTTCTGACCACGTGTCTAAATGTACCAAATGCAGCAGCAAACGTGCCTTGTGAACAGAGCATCTAGAAGCCGTGAAACAGTTTTTAATGTTTATCAGAAAATAACTACTCAGTATTCTGTTTGAGTGTAATTTTTGGGATACTGGGGGCTGTATTCCGCCCTCCGGTTTCCCCATCGATTTCCACTGCCCAGGGAGGGGCACCGCCATGATTTGTGCATTGAATGTCACAATATATTATGAATTTTTTCGGGGTTTGGGTGGGCCTATTGAGATTTGGACCAAGGCACGTCGGGGGAGGATCACTAGCGCACATTTCGAACCAGTCGAAATTGAAAACCGGAGGTAGAATGTGGATGGAGCCCGCTGGTACTGCAGTAATCTGACTGACTGAAATTGTCATTTAAACCATCAAAGCTCCAAACACAATGAAAACAGTTCATTCTTAAAAGTGACACTGGGCGCAGCCGTCTTGAATTCTGTCTCTGAATGTTTGCTCAGTCTCCTCTGAGTTCTTCCAAGTTTCACGAGGTGCGTGTCACTAGGCAACGTTCTCGAACCTCTGAGATGGATAATTGAATGCCCCATAAAGCAGTGAGTGACAGGGTAGAAGGGTTTGGAGATCTAAAGAACAATGTGAACAGAAGTGTGTGAACAGGAATCCACACTTCAGACTCAGCCATGTGTTTGTAATCACCAGACTCTAATCAGGTCAATCTTTTGAAATTCTACTTGAAATTGCAAATTGACCTAGTTTGCACAAAAATTGCCTAAAATGAGGAGCAGTAGAGGAACAGTAGATCATTTTATTAAAACACCTTCACAGTTTAGTAGCAAAAGAAAATGGATTTAATGTTTTGTTCCACTTTAAATATGTGTTACTGTGACAGGTTTAATCTACATTGCTTCTCTGTCTCTCAGGAAACGCAGCCGTCCTGTGGTGCACCTGCTCCACCACCGTGTTCCGCTCCGTCACAAAACGTTTCGTCAAGACCCTGGCGTGCTCGGGGATTGGCGCCTGTCTGGTGTGCGTGCCCTTTGACCTGGCCCTGGGCTCCAGTCCCCTCTGCTGCTGGTGGATCCACACCATCATCATCTGCAAGTCCTTCAAGTTCCTCCACAAGCTCTTCTGCTCCGTCACCGTGCTCAGCTTCAGCGCCATCGCCCTGGACAGGTGAGGAGCAATATATCTGAAGATGACAATCAAAAAGGTGGAAGGTGTTCACATTTGGTTAGATTTGGTTCTGGTTTGGCTCATGTGTATTTGTGATGAAGAAATGTTTGGCCCTTTTCTAGTTCTGGCTTAGTCTTGGTCTAGTCTTGGTTTAAACCCTTAATGTCGACTGTCACAAATATGTGACAAACCGTTTGGATCAAGATATAAGCCGAGATCGCGGCTGCTTTCCCCCAGTGCTGGTTAGTGCATATGCAGGACCTTCCTAGGAACCTTCGACTTAAAGGCAAAAACACACACAAAACATTTTTTTATGTACATTTATATAAATTCAGGCGTTAAGGGGTTTCTGGGATTCTGGGTTTATGGTGCATAAGGCAACTGGTAACTGGGTTATTTTCCTTCTCTGACTTGAAAAAATTCTCTGTAATACAGTTTGAACTTGTAAACTCTACTTCTAAACTAAAACTGTGACGTATTACAACAACAATAATCAACACAAAAAGTGAATCTGAGGGATCAAGTACCTACAACTATCAACTACTAAATGATGTAAACATTTGATAAAGGTTAAATCTGACAATATTAACATGTTAGAAACATTCATTTGAGGTCAGCCCCATGTTCCTTTATTTCTAAGATTTTTCTCAAACTTAAACTCTAAGTCGAGTCATTTTTATTTTTATACTGCATTTATAGAATAATAAGCGTTGCTTCTCCCCACTCCTTTTCGGAATGATTGATTTTTAAATTGATTTTTATTTTAGTTTGGAGATTATACTTGTGATGAGCAATGTAAAATAATTGCCTTTATGTAACTGTTGATTTCTGCATAATAATGCAATTTATTATTTATGGAAACACTCAAATAAACTTATGATCAAAGGGATTATTCATTACATAAGGGTGAGTCATTGTACAGTTGTAGGGAGTATTATCTGTTACAATAGGGTGAGTTGTACAGTTGTAGGGAGTATTATCTGTTACAATAGGGTGAGTTGTACAGTTGTAGGGAGTATTATCTGTTACAATAGGGTGAGTTGTACAGTTGTAGGGAGTATTATCTGTTACATAGGGTGAGTTGTACAGTTGTAGGGAGTATTATCTGTCACAATAGGGTGAGTTGTACAGTTGTAGGGAGTATTATCTGTCACAATAGGGTGAGTTGTACAGTTGTAGGGAGTATTATCTGTTACAATAGGGTGAGTTGTACAGTTGTAGGGAGTATTATCTGTCACAATAGGGTGAGTTGTACAGTTGTAGGGAGTATTATCTGTCACAATAGGGTGAGTTGTACAGTTGTAGGGAGTATTATCTGTCACAATAGGGTGAGTTGTACAGTTGTAGGGAGTATTATCTGTCACAATAGGGTGAGTTGTACAGTTGTAGGGAGTATTATCTGTTACAATAGGGTGAGTTGTATAGTTGTAGGGAGTATTATCTGTTACAATAGGGTGAGTTGTACAGTTGTAGGGAGTATTATCTGTTACAATAGGGTGAGTTGTACAGTTGTAGGGAGTATTATCTGTCACAATAGGGTGAGTTGTATAGTTGTAGGGAGTATTATCTGTCACAATAGGGTGAGTTGTACAGTTGTAGGGAGTATTATCTGTTACAATAGGGTGAGTTTGTACAGTTGTAGGGAGTATTATCTGTTACACTAGGGTGAGTTGTACAGTTGTAGGGAGTATTATCTGTCACAATAGGTGAGTTGTTGTACAGTTGTAGGGAGTATTATCTGTCACAATAGGGTGAGTTGTACAGTTGTAGGGAGTATTATCTGTTTACAATAAGGGTGAGTTGTACAGTTGTAGGGAGTATTATCTGTCACAATAGGGTGAGTTGTACAGTTGTAGGGAGTATTATTATCTGTTACAATAGGGTGAGTTGTACAGTTGTAGGGAGTATTATCTGTCACAATACGGTGAGTTGTACAGTTGTAGGGAGTATTATCTGTCACAATAGGGTGAGTTGTATAGTTGTAGGGAGTATTATCTGTTACAATACGGTGAGTTGTACAGTTGTAGGGAGTATTATCTGTCACAATAGGGTGAGTTGTACAGTTGTAGGGAGTATTATCTGTCACAATAGGGAGTTGAGTTGTACAGTTGTAGGGAGTATTATCTGTCACAATAGGGTGAGTTGTACAGTTGTAGGGAGTATTATCTGTCACAATAGGGTGAGTTGTACAGTTGTAGGGAGTATTATCTGTCACAATAGGGTGAGTTGTACAGTTGTAGGGAGTATTATCTGTCACAATAGGGTGAGTTGTACAGTTGTAGGGAGTATTATCTGTTACAATAGGGTGAGTTGTTGTACAGTCATTTCAACCTAAGGTCCTTTATATTATATTATTATATTATATCATTTATATAATTGTAGATGGGACACTTTTTTGCTTTTAAAATAGATTTTGGTGTGAATTATTTCCATCATAATCACAAGAATTCTATTAAAAAACATATTTCTTCATGTTGTCTGCACTGAAATGAATCATGGGATATGTAGTTCCTGATGTTAGTTTTCCTCTACATTAACATCAACTGCTGCTGGAGAATAGTTTGGTTGTACTTGACGACCAGCTTGGAAGAAATGGTGTTAAAATCTGATGCAAATTGATGATAAAGGAAATGTGGGAACATATGGCCTAATTTTGGAAAAAAAAAAAAAAAAAAAAAAAAGACTTTAGAAATGAGAGAACATAAGGCTGAGGGAACACAGGCACACTCCTCATTCATATCATGTTTACATTTCCTTCGCGAATACGGTTTAGCATTAGCCACACTGTTTACATAAAAATCAATTCAGCTGGAACGCTCTGAGGTTAGAGCTCGCCGCGTTACATCCCAGTTAGCGGTTTCCCGGAGCGCGGCATTAGTCCCAGTTTAGTTCCAGGGTTTGACGTGGTGGAAGTGTGAATGCATTCCCGTTGACAGTCTGGGTGTAAATTGCGTAACTCGACATTCACAGGTTTTATCTTCCTGTTATTTCCAACATGAGGAGGACGCAGTTACATTCAAAGTATAATATAATACTGCATATAACACTTTGTTTTAAATAATAACCACTATGACAACGATTCATTTCATCATCTAAAACTCCTGGATACGTCAAATTAGAGTTTATGAGGAGCTCCAGCACTGCACAGTATTATTAGCGCTTCATAATTACTACTCATAAGTATTAGTCATGTATAATGAATCTGTTAATTATATAGAATAGCTGAGAGGTATTTTGCAACATGAATAGATTTGATTAAAGGCGGCATATGCAGAATTTTAGAGGGTTTATCCATGGTTATTTACTCAACACTACTGGGGTTTTGTTTTGCTTCATTCACTAACAGCCTGTCCACATGATAACGTTTTTTGGGTGAAGTTTGTATTCGTTTTGGTCTTTCATCCACACGGAGTCGTCGTTTTGGTTGGGCGAAAATGATGTTTTTTGAGACCGGGTTCCAGAGTGGAGAAATCTGTGTTGTCGTGTGGATAAGCAAACCGCAGCTTTTGGAAAACAAGAGCGTTTCCGAAATGGGACGGGTGTAGCCTACGGAGCCGCTCCCATCGCCCAGCAACCGATTACAAAAAGATTAAAAGATTACGCACACGGATCAATAACAAAGATTACATGCGAGTAATGAACAATTAAGGTTTAATTTTAGCAAAACAAAACAGCTATATTTCTGGGATACATCTAAAATCGGCTAATTTACCTTAAAGTAAAAAAAAAAAAAAAGAGATCTGCATTATTAAATATTATTATCATTGTTAACAGCGCCACATACAGGTGCGGCATGTGTATTACATCGTTTTCACTCCGTGCTCCGTTTTCGTCTGGACATGAACATTTATTGATCCGACACACAGTGTTGGGAAGGTGTATAACCCTACAGATCACAGATTACATACACCAAAATGTAGTTTGTAACGTAATCCATTAAATTACTTAAAATGAGTAACGTAATCTGAATACTTTGGATTACTTGATATTGTCTTGGTTTTTAAAACTACGTGAATGTACCAACCACATTCTGAAAATTCTTGTTTGTTCTCTTCAAATTGTCTGTTGAGCCCAAGTCTCCATGAACCGGTAACTGTTCGCTGTAGAGAAGCAAAGACCAGGACGTCTTTACATAAGATGTTTTGTCTGCTAAAGGACAATAAAAAGCCCAGACTTTCCTTAACCAGTTTAAAAATATTTATGTCCACTCTACTGTTAGCTGTCATATTGTTTAGACCTGGTTTAGTTCTGGTTTAGTTCTGGTTTAGTCTGGTTTAGTTCTGGTTTAGTTCTGGTTTAGTTCTGGTTTTAGTCCTGGTTTAGCCCAAAATGTGAAAACAGGAAAATCCCGCCATGTAATCCATTTATTTCAACAAAGTAACTGTAATCCAATTACCACTCATTGAAACAGTAACTGTAATCGAATACAGTTACTCATAATTTGTACTCTGATTACGTAACTCCGGTACATGTAATCTGTTACTCCCCAACACTGCCAACATGTGTGTGGATGCGAATTTTTATCAGCCCGTAAAAGAAAAAATCCAGGAGTGTCGTCGTGTGGACGCAGCCTAAGATTTCAGTAAACCTGAAGGTCACAAATGGCTCTTTTTAAACATTTTCAGTTATGAAACCTGCTCTCCTGTACAGTTTTTAAACCCGTAAACCATCAGCGTCTATTCTGAGCACTTCTGCTCTCTGTTCAACAATTGCATGGCTCTATTAGCGCACAGGCCACTCTGCCAAACGGCTTTAATTATACTTTCATTGTTCGTTCAGTCCCACTGCTTAAAGCTTAGTTCATGCCAACATTTTCAGTTTTCCTAAATGTCGACTTTAGGTTAGAAATAAAATGCCAAGATGTAATTTTAAAAAGCCCTACTTTTTGTTATTTATTTTTTTTATTTTGAGAGCAATAAGGCCATTTTTAGTTTGCTTACAGACTTGATATTTTGCACTTTTGTAGCTAAGGCCTTAAATTAAGCATATTTTTATGTCTA